TAAGAAGTGTACATAACGTCATAAGCACAGATTTCATACGCAGAACTAGTTCACAAAAATTATATTACTGGCACAGAATTTCGGATGATTTTAATTACTGGCAAAAATATTGTCCGAAAATATAACCGTTCGAAATTTTTAAGCGTCCGAAATTTTAAGAGTCCGAAATATTTACAATACAGTTCAAAACTTAAAGCTATCTAGTAAGAACTAGTAAAACTATCTTTTTCACACCTGTTGTTTCAGTTCGTGATACGAGGGCGTAAATTTACTTTAATAGCTACATGATTGTATGTTTCAGCAAAGTGTCCAAACTTTGTTGGAAATGAGATAAAAATGTGTCCAAAAATTAAGCTTCCGAAATTTTAGCATCCGATCTATTTTCTACAAGTAATGTACTTTGTATCTCAACTAAGTAAAAAAGGGTTAAAATTGATTTTAAGTACAGTGTACGTTATTGTGTGCTTCAAACGTCCCGATTTTAAGTAATTTGCCACCACAGATCTCATGTGTTTAACACATATTTCTATGCAGGTGGACCCATATGAATAATGGCAGATATTGTGAATCTGAAACCCTGTTACTTCTTACTCACCGTATTTGTAAAGTAGCTCTTCCAAAGCAAACAAATGCTTGGAAGTGATTCCAGTGCGAACCTAAACAAGAGTGACATAAGGTTGTAATCAAACTCACTACTGATATGAGCACTTTGATAGCATTTTGTCCCTGCACCTATCTCTAGCGTGACTAGGCGTCGCATAGGGCATTTATTCCGTAATAAATCAATGTTTTCCCCTTTCTTTGCATTCATTAACTGGTACTTTATAATTTATAACTTAAACATAAGATATAAGATACATTTAGAAAGAAATGTACCAATGGTTGCTGTTGGTTCGTAATCTATACAATATTATATAATTTAAGGAACTTCACATCCCAAAAATAACGGGAAGCATTTGGAGTCTTGAGCACACGGGTGGAAAAGCTGCAACCTTGATTCAAAGATAAACCTGTTTGTGAACAGCACAATAAACATACAATACTGGAATGGCTGCTACAATCATCGCCATCAGAGTTACTGCAGTACATTGGTCTGTGACCCATCGTGATGATCCAGGGACGTAATGCACGGTTTTCAGGAGATGTTGCTTCCTGTAAGTTGGCACACCATACAAACGAAATTGGTTATTAGAACTTTGCAACCACTAAAATTGTTTGACAATGTCTACTAAAACTTTATTTTTTTTAGTAGCAACTTTTGTCTCCATAAACAGATTACAGGCTGTAGTACGCCAAAGCAACACACTACTTTTGAAAAATACACATACTGTAGCACTGTTAAAATTAACAAAATATGGTGTCATAGCAGTACAGGCACATAATACATACAAAGAGCTATTAAGCATACTATTGTGTAATACCATACTTTTTTCCCCAGATTTCCTAAATGTTATTTATTCTAAATCCCTTCACGTTACAGTTAATTTACTAGAATACTTTGAAGCTCAATACTATTAATGGCCTAGGCAATATGTCATTACAGGTCAACTGCGATCGGCTTCAAATGTTAACGGCATTTTGGATATCTAAGTTACAATGTGCTTTCAACATAGAAGTGTTCACCAGCCTCCAAAGAAGGTGCTGTTCATTAGCCTGGAACTAGCTAACTAGTAAATTTTTCTTTCTGGCTAATGGGATTCATATTAATTTATTACCCATTCATTGCCAAAAAACTGGCCCTATACCCACATAGGGTTATGGTCAAAATCTAAAATCTAAATCATTGCCAAAAAAATATATATGTACTCTTTCGCTAAAAGTCAAACTGGCACACAAAGGCTCTAACTTGCCCTTGAAAAATCTCTTTGCACTCTAGTAGATGCAAAATTGCCAGTTAATAGTTTTTCTAACCTGAAGGTCTTTTTCCAGCCACTCGTACTGCTGAACAATCTGTTCAAGGCCATACTGGTAGAAATGGTAGACCTCTGTTGAAAGGCTGATAATGTGTGCAGGACCAATGTTCCAACTAAAAAGGGACACAAGAAAACAGTGGTACGATCACAAAAAAATTCCCAACATTCGTATCGTGTTTCGGTTGCTTTATATTAGTATAAATCAAATTTATCAAATTTATTTAATTAAAAACCATTTGAGCCAAGTCTAGTATGCGTGAGATGTGTTACATGGCGGTTTTGCAACACAAATATAGAGCCAATATAGAACCAGATATTAGCAATCGAATATGACCTACTAGGGATTCTTATGCTTCGATTAATTATCCTAAATTCCATAGAATAAACCATTAAAATACTTTCAGGTCTGAGTTTTCACAACAACCAGGGGGTCTCAGTTTTTCGGGTCTGAGGACTGAGTTTTCCAGACACCCAGAGGGCCTGAGTTTTTTGGGTCTGAGCACTGAGGTTTTGTGATGCCTGGCTAGTTTGAGCTAAAATGGGCAGTTTCAAGGAAAAGACAAAATACTTTCATAAAACAAGACTTTCTTATTAATAAGCATTTTACCTGTAGAAGATACCCTCTGTATTTCCTGGCATTGAAAACCTGTTTCTGTAGTTAGAGAAGTTGCTGTAAGGAAAGACATACACCGTATAATTATACATGTATACTGGTCAAAGTATTTAATATACTATTTAGTGAAAACCTTGCAACTACTAAAAAAAATACTATTAAATAAATAAGTATAATTTAAATTATATCGTAGGCCTTCCAATTAATTTTTAAGTACATGAAGTTGTACAAGAAACATTTTGGAATATTGAATGTCAATCTGGAGTTGATGACCAGTTTTAAATAGCTTTAATTTCTGTTTTGTTTAATTATATTTACTATCTTTTTCTTACAATAAAATTCCTTTCCTCGTGAACTTACTAGGCCTGTTCGTGATTTCCTGGACATGTCATGTACGGTATGTAGGCGGCAATTGACTGAATTTGATTCATGAAGTCATCTCCAACCAGAGCATTATCCTGTGCACATAGAATAGAAAAGAAAAAATAATTATATTTATTTAAAGCCTATCCTGTCTGTTTTGTGAAATTCAAACTGGGATAATTCTTATACTCTATATAAAAAAAAGGTCTTGGGACTTCTACTTTCCACCAATTTTGATACATTTACCACGAAAAAATTAAGCCTAAAAACATGAAACAGAGGAGATGCCAACAAGCACCAGTCAATACCAAGGGTGTGAAGTCTACATGATGTAGAAAGGAGGGCGAAAGCTGACTTTCAAAGCCATGAATGTTAATATAAAGTCAATTGGAAGAGAAATATGGCAGACCTTCAAAGCGATGAATGTTAATATTAAAAGCAAATTGGAAGAGAAATATAGAAAACATTTTGGGGTATAATTTGACTGTTTGTCATTTTGGACAAAGAGAATGGGCACCAAAGGCGCAGGAGTTGCCCCTACCTATTAGGGAGTAAACTGTACATATATCTGGGAAATGGGAAGTTCAGATCCACTCCCGCTCAATCCTTCCCCACCCCCTTCTGGCCCCCGTGTGAGATTGAAGCCTGAAAATGCATTGAAACAGAAATAAGAAAAGTTTACAATGAAAGGTGTCTTACAGAGTCCATATCATAAGCAAAGTCACCTGAAAAAGAAATATATGAGACTGAATTACCACGAGCCACTATCATTAAGCTAATTAAAACTAGTAGTAATCAACGATTATGAGAGTGCGTTCGACTCGCATGCCTTCACTTTAATATATATACCTTAAATAAATGGTTTCACTAACTAACCTTCAACCTCTGTCTCTTGATAAAATCAACATTTTTCATCGACAACCGAGGTTTTACAGACAGATATATCATAGTGGCACAGTCCATGCCAGTTTAAGAGGTCCCTGTACTAACTATGATTTCTTGATTCATTGCGTGACAGCGCCAGTTTCCGTAGACTCAACTTTCGTGCTACATATTCTCACATTAACTGGTAATGTTTAAGCATAATAGTTAATTTGAAAAAGTATATTTTATACACATTATTCTAAGCTGAAGCACAAATATAAGCAAACATTTGCAATCGTGTGCCCGCTTATCGTCAGCGTAAACAAACCCCGTGCGATTTGAGTATTTCCCCTGATGAGTAAAGTAAACAGTGTTTACATAATTTGCCGTTCCTTGGTTCAGGCACACTCTTAAGGATCTTTCCCCGCTGATTCCAAACAATATTTGAGCGGATAAAGATTGAGCGACATGTATCTGTCGTGACCGGAACTAATCAACAAATGCAATCAAAATATAGCTGGTTTCCCACAATTAACATTCCAAACATACAAAATAAACAAGGACAATACCCTCAGATTTCGATAAATGCTACCAATGAAGCGTTTATATTCACTAATATCCAATGCTGAGAGCACAAAATAGCGAAGCCCATGGCGCCTGAATGGAAAGAAGTCAAAGAAAGCAGCGCAAAGACGAGCTCGCATGTCCTGCTTACATGCTCACATGTTCGCCACATGTCTTATCACATTTAATCACGTCTCAGTTTTAAACAGTACCAGTTTACTGGCCGTGACATGCCCCTGCAAAAATTAAGTGGGGTGGCCATTTTGGTGTCCTTACAGGAATGTGGAGTTTTTCTGCATATAACCGTGCACAGGGCAACCAACTCTGGAAAGCCACAGGCCAAAATTAGGTTTGCGTTCTTCGAACGCAATCAACTTTTATCAGTTTTTTAACTTTATGTAACAGAAATTCATTGCAGATCAATGAGTGACTGTAAGAGGCAGGAAGCAATGACAGTTATATCTGCAGTATTTCAACTGAAGTTAATGTTAAATTTGTGGTAGGGAATTTCAGTTATCTCCTTGGTCTGAGCGAAATTGAGCTCAAAACTTCATTTAAACCACAGAAAAAAAGAAAAACTTACCAACATGAAGGAAAGCATCATATTTTCCTTCTTGAGTTTCTTCCTGCAGATAGCTTAAAGATCTTGCATTAACACTTCCAAGATCTCCAAAGACAGCCATCCGAGGACTCCAGTCCACACCAGACTTGAGGGCTTTAAATGCATACAGTGCACTCCAGCCTTCTAATCCACCACAGTGATACTCTGCAAGTTAGACAATGAGTCTGAGTCCAGATTTCAACAGACTTTTTCTAAGTCTTTAGCTACATCAAAGTTCAGAGCAAATAACACCAACAGCAGCTAGAAATGTCTAGTCCATTGTACGTCTAAGCCTTAAATGTAAACTGATATGGCAAAGATTTTTGCTGTCTAAAGCAAGCACAACATTATCGCCACAGGGCAAACAGCCTACTG